TGCGTCTCTCCCTGCTGCAGGTAGATCTCCATCCCATCCAGACATGAAATGAATACTGCTGCTGCTGACTGATCCATGATGGCATGTTAATAAAAACATTTCTATGGCTAAAAATAGATCCCTTTGCCGGTCCCTAGCCAATAGAAAGGAGGGTTAGAGTTGTGACAGTACAATTATATATATAAAGTGTATATATATAAAGTGTATATATATATATATTTGACTTAAAGTAAAACTCCGAACAAAGACAACTAGTAAAAAAGAAATGTAATCAATATCAGAATGAAGCTTCTCATGAGGTTAAAGGCAATAAGCATATTAATAATGTTTTAATCTAATTTATTCAGTATATAAGTTAACTAAATGATACAACTGGACTTCTATTTTGAAACTGTTGATGTTTCTCTTCCCATCAGAGAGGCTTTGTCAGTTCAAAATGTTTGGAGTAGTGGAGACATTTATGAAATAACCTTGTGCCCTTCATCCAAGGGACGTGAAGGTTTGAATAAAGACCAGTGTCTATTTGGGGAAAGTAATGGGCCCACCTGCAAGACCCCCACTCACATGGGTTTTTACCTATCCCCATTCACTACACCATATCGATGGATAACACCGATTCTTCAGTTTAAAGTCTTTGTGTTTGCGTCACCTGTCCTGTAGCAGCGAAGTCCTTCAGAGGGTGGAGGCTGAGGCTCAGGATATCATCATCATGTCCGAGGTAGAAGCGCTGGCTGTGCAGCTGTCGGTTATAAACCACGGCCACAGCTGCCACGTGATACACCACCTCTCCGCTCTGAGTGTAGAAAAGGTTGTTCCTGCAGTCGTAACCTCGGTACCTGCACAAAGACAACAGGTAACTTACTCCAACTTTACTATTTACGTATCAGTGATGTCTTTTGCCCCGGAGGGAGTGGTTTGGTCAGAAGGTTGTGTATAAAAGTTACCAGAGTTCCTGTTTCAGAGCCAAAAACACAGAGACTTCCTTCAGGTCTGTTTTTGGTCCAGCTGAAGGTTGTGTATGGCTTTATTCATTTGTTAACAGTTCAGGTCTGAGTCTGAATTTGTCTTAATCGGTTCGTTCTTGCCTCAGTAAACGCATTCCTAACAGCAACAGTATTTGACTAAACAACTTTAACTATCACTTGTTGATTTCATTCCTTCAAGGAATGCTGTGAAATTATGAGTCAAGTTCAGACTTTAAGTAAAAAGATGCAAAGTGTCAAAATGAAGCCATCAAAACACAGAAAACAAAAATAAAGCGTTGCTTTACCCGTGAACAAACTGCAGTCGCAGGCCTTGGTCCGGTCCGTTCTGTCTCTTCAGAGACCCAACCTGCTGCTTCTTCTCTCGGCTCTGCTGTCGCAGCTGAGGCAAGTCCTCCTTGTACACCTGATAAAAACAACACATAAATATCGCTGATCAAAACAAAATCTAATCCTAGAAGTGCCACCTTAAAGCATCTTCCAATCAGCTCTGAAAGGTTTATCCTCTGACAGAAACATCTGGAGATTCATCAGCTGTAATAATCTGGTCAAAATCCCTATCATAAAACACATTAACTACAGCTGTATGTAGTTTTTTTGCAATCCGTAAAGTGAATTTAACACTGTAGAAAAACACTGAATCTTGTTGAATCTGTATATTTTTTACAAGTATATATAAAAAACTACTTTAACATTTCTGACACGAAGATGTCACTGTTTAAATGTGACGACCCATTGCCACATTTATTTTCTTTGAGAAAAGAACAAGTTTTGTGTCTTTTTGTTTTTAGTCCTGATTTGATTTTAGCACATTTAAAAGCAGCATTCTTACATCCTTTTCAGTAATGGTTGTGTCATGTAAGTTGTATTTGGTTTTGAATTTGACTCTTTTAAAATTTAATTTGTGTTTTTACTAATCTGTTCAGTGCAGATGGAGTTTAATGGAGTCAGGAAACCAGTTGTCACTGTAGCGATAACTTGGAGTGAAAGGTTAACGCTCCAAACTCTGACCATCACATGACTCTGCCCATGTTTACAAGAAGAACAGTGACCTATTCATTTACCTCCAAAACCTTTGTTTATTATTTACGAGTGGTAAGATAACGACAGGATGCGACAGAGACCTTCTGTTGTTTGAGTACGGTGAGAACTCTGTGATGTACTCAAACAT